AGTTCAACATGCCGAAGTGGGAGAGTGCAGGCGTACCGTTGTAAGTCCTGTAATTCTCCCATAGCGGATGGAGCAGGCTAGGGTGAACCAGAGTACATCGAAACCCAGAAGAAATTTCGGTCAAAATTTGGTCAGGAGTGTAGAAGATTCCCAAATGTCCTATCCTCTGCTGCCTTCCTACCGCTCCCTGCCTCATGGTTGTGATTCCCTTTACCGTTTTCCCAACTTCTTTCCTGTCCCAATCACTCTTTGTTATCTGGCTCTCAATGGAGTTTGTGTTCCGTGCCAAGTTAATTAAGTTTATTTGCACTTTAAACACATAGATGACCTGCATTCAACCGTGCATGTATTGATCTATATTTCCAAGTTCTGAACAGACCTAATTGTCGCTTCATGTGGCTTCGCCTCATGTTATCAGTTTGTGATGTTCCGTTTTAAGTCCTCTCGCCGTGGCATTCGGATACTAGCGAGCAAGACATTCCTCACATCGCATGTGACCTGACGATGTTGCGAGATCATGTGAGTAGAGTTCACATGCATGAAACCACCTCGTCCGTGAGGACAATTGTAACTGTTACTGCATGTGCAATTGCAACACTTGCAATGCCATCATGGTGTGTGTGTGTGTGTAAGGTACTAGCCGAACGCCCACGTTTCACGGCAACCTCCCTTTCCGATTGGTCATGTGTAAGCCTGTTAAAACCACGGTACATTGAAACGAGCTTATTGTGCGTGAACTTGATGCTCAGCTTGCTGGCTACCATGGATTGTTGCCGTTGTTTGGTACGCCTGTGCCGGAAGCACAGATTATTGTGGTATTGTACATTGTCGTTTTTAATTATTTGTAATAGTACAGTATTTCAGTTCCGGTCTTATTTTTTTGAAACCGATGGAGACGCGTTCACTCAAGTTTTCCAAGCGGATTGCCGCTTACAACATGCAAAACTGTCTGTCTCTTTCAGTCTTCACCGGAGGTGTACTATGCAGTGGTGCAGCGAATCAGCATTGGTGCTGAAGTATTGGAAATCACCTGCTTCTACTATCTTGAGAATGTGGTTATTACTGACCAGCGAATGTACAGTGAGCTTCGTATCCGCGTCTTGAAGGCAGCGGCAGCATTCGGGATGCTTGACCACCGATTGTGGAAAAGCCACCGGCTTACCGCTAGCACGGAGCTGATGATTACAAATCCATGGTGCTGTCCGTTCTTCTCAACTGCAGCAAAACGTAGACGGTATGCCGGCGGGACGTGGGATATCTTGAGCGGTTTCCTCAACAGTATATGCGACAGATTCTGAATATCGGTCGGTGCGACAGACTTGCGGACACGGAAATATTACGCCGAAGTGGAATGTATGCAGTGGACTGCATACTTTTGCTGAGACACCTGAGGTGGCTTGGTTATGTGTGACGTATGCATTCGATGCGGATACTGAAGCAGCTATTATATGATCATCTGATTGTGGGGAAGCGGCATGTGGGGAAACCGAAACTTCCTTATCAGGACATATCACGTGCTAATGTTGATTCCAGTTGTTTTAAATCGAAAGCGCTTGATCGGCGTGCATGGCGCGATCTGATCACGAAGGCCGTTACCGTGGTACAGGAGAAAGCCCTCCTGTCTGCGGAGAAGAAGCGGCAGACTCCGATGGCGTGTACTCCGTTGATGAAACGTTACTTTCATGCACATGCCTCCTGATCTTATTTCTTCGGTCTTACACTGCATGTGGTGTGGGTGGATGGAGCTGTGAGTGGTGTAGCGCAAGACACCCATGTTCTCTATGTAAGCACAGGCTTCCTGTGGTTGTCGCCGTGGAGGCCAGAGTGACAAACAACTACGGAACCGGATGCCGCCAACCTTGTGCTGAAGTTGATGTTGCATTCATGATGCTTCCTCACCGTAGGTGGGCTAAACCAACTTACACTTAAACTAGGTCTTTGTAATCTGGATAAAAGTCGCTCCACTTTATTAGTTTTGTGAACTTCTATTCTTCTGCTGCGTATTTTTTGTCAGTTTTGCGTGTTTGCTTTCCCTTAAATTTCATGTTGATTGTTTGATATCCCCGGTATGGCTGTGCTTGATGTGAATCTAGACAAAGTGCCTACCTGTCTAACAACCTCCACCTCGAGTACTGGCTTCAGGAGACTGAATCATTGCTGGGGGGACGGGGTGCACGGTTCTCGTGGCCGTGCTAGGCTCACAGCCTGGTTCCATGCACCCATTATGAAGCGGACTACAGCCAAGTCCCCGCCTTGTGTACATCTGATACGCTTGATTCCCTCGACAGATAGACAGGAATGCTACTGCTGTGCATTTTGAAAGAGTGCCGTCTGGCTCCGGTGATGAAATGTGGCTCCCATCCACACGCCAAGCATATGGTTGGCGGCATCCGGCTCCAGATTTGCGTGTCACTGCGGCCTCCATGGGGACAACCACAGGACGCCTACGTCTACAGGTGGCTCGCGTTGCACCACCCACCGCTCCATTCACACACACCCTATATCCAGTGTAAATCCGAAGGAATGATACCGGGAGGCATGTGTTTGGGACTCGCGTTTCATCAACAGAGTCGGCCCTCACTCCTTTACAGGCAAACACAGGCAAGTTGTATTTGGGGAATCAGGCGCACGCAATACGGTGGCTGAATCGTAGTCCACTGCATTTTGGGTGCATGGAACCATTCTTCGAGCCTAGCACGACCACAAGGACCGTGCAACCCGTCCCCTCCAGCAACGAACAACTGTCCTGGAGCCAGTATAGATGAGGTGGTGGGTAATAGATAGGTAGGTACCTTTTCAACATGAACATCAAGCGCAGCCACACCGGGAATGTCAAGCAACAGCCCATCACTCGTCTCCAACAACACCGCCAGCAGTGATGCAACTTACCATCATAGCTTCAGTTGAGATCGAACCTGATGTCAAATTCCTGGTGAGCGAGGCACTACATGGTCTGTCAGTTATGGCCCAAGCTGTCCGGGCCGAAACGCTTCGAGATCCAATCCTGAAGAAGGTTACACACTTCCACAGAACTAGCTGGCCACACTCGTGTTCATCTACTGAAATGCAGCAATTCTATCAGCGAAGACATTCGCTCTTCATTGTGAACGATTACGTCATGTTCTCAGAGAGAGTAGTCATCCCGCAGTCGTTGCAAGAAAAAGTGCTGCGGCAGTTCTATGCAAGACATCCAGGACTCAACCGAATCAAAGCGCTTGCCCGAAGTTATCTGTATTGGCTGTTTATGAACAGAGCTGGAGCAGCTAGCTAGAAGATGTAGCAACTACGCTATAGCTTCAAGGGCACTGCCGAATACTGAACTCCACTCGTGGCCTACATCAACTAAACCTTGGAGCCATGTTCATGTCGACTTTTCAGTCCCAGTCAATGGCCAGAACGTTCTCATAGTGGTCGACGCTTACAGCAACTGGCCCGAAGTGTCCCTTATGAACAGCACGAAAACCAGCGCTACAGTTTCGAGGTTGCGACAAATCTTCAGCAGATTTGGCTGCCATGAAACATTGGTGACGGACAATGGAGCACAATTTACTTGGGCCACATTCACGGTTCTGCAAACGCTGCGCCATCGAATACGTGCGGTTTCCACCATTCCACCCATAATCGAACGGCCAAACGCAGAGATTTTTGGATACCTTCAAACGCGCTTTCAAATCAAGGAGGGAGGGAGACATAAAGGCGGTGATTGACCGATTCCTTTTTCTGTACCGATCTACACAAATCCACAAACACCGGGTGGAATATCACCAGCAGAGACAGTGATGAAGAGAAAGCTTCGCATACCCTTTGATGCAATTCGGCCGTCCTCAGGGTCCATAACTGGTGAAAGGAACCTCACGATGGAACATGACTTTAATCGGCGGTATGGTGCTAAGCGACGTTCGTTTAAACCGGGTCAGCCAGTACTTGCACGTGCTTACCAGGAAGGCACGCAAAATGGACGCCAGGCACGATCCAGGGTAAGCGCGGGAACTTCATTTACAACGTGCTGGTTGGAACGCGGGTATGGGTGCATCATGCAAACCAACTGCGACCAAAACTTTGTCAGCCACAAGCAACGCAATCTGCCGGGCTTCCATTTGACTTGTTGACGGACAGCTACAACTTGCCCAACCAGCCCGTAGAAGAATCCTGTCATCAGACGAATGATACCAGACCGCAGAGCACAGAACTTGAATCCAGAACACTACAGCCAAGGCGATGGACCGATAGGCGTAGAACCCCTTCCAGGAGGCTTCAGGTCAATCCCAGGCTAGCATCATACACCGCGGCAGCTGTTTCAAGAGGGGAGATATCCGTGAAGATAAAAACAAATGAAAATCCATTATTTTAACCATTAATCGATTTTCTTCAATCGTGCATTGATTTCCATTCCTTCACGGAGTTTTGGCACGGAGATTGCCAATTTTACCAGTTAACCTCCGTTTTCTAGAAGCCGCAGATCACTGAGTCCCCTATACATTTGGCGTAGTTTGTACAGCGTTTTGGCGGCGATTTTGGTTACGTTTGGCAGCGTTTTTACTAACACATTTTTCGCGGTCAAGATCGTTGGACTTTTGATTTTTCTTTGGCTGGGCTAGAATATTTGCGGAGAAATTTTGGGTGTTTAATTCAAAAAACGTGAAGATCTAACACACCACAGGAACATTATTAATATATTTTTTCATCTCAACTTCCGTTCGAATTATTATTTTGGTCCTTAAAATTACTATATAAAACCATTCCAATTTCTATAGGTTTTCCCACATGCTGTCAACTCATGAAAAGCACCCGAAGCCTGACGGAACTGGGTTGATCAATCGTCAATTACAGATATACCTATTTCTTTACCATCTGTATTTCATACTGCGTTGATAACCTTCCTTATCAGTTTGACCTTTTTGGGTATTTTTTCCCATTTGATTCCGAACTTAACTCCAGATGTACCTACCTTTTAATAGTCGCATCGCAAGATACAATGGTGCGGTTTTGTCTGCATCCTAGGGGTGAACAAATTCCACTGACAAACTACCAGATATCTATTCGTCTAACCTTGGCTCTCTCATCCTCCTCTTCGTCATCTCGTTCCAGGAGCTTGTTCGCAGTACTCTTCCACCATTATTGACGTAACATGGACGACCAAGTATGAATGTCAATTATTCACCCTGTTTACCTCGGCCAGCAAATGCCATGTTGGTACTATGAGCGAGAAGAATTGATCAAAACCCCCTCCTTTTACGACCACATTGACACAGCTACTGAAGCTCGCTATCGGCGGGAAGGGGCCCGATTTCTCTTCGATGTGAGCAGCAAATTGAACCTACGCTTCGACACTTGCGCCACCGCGATAGTGTTTTTCCATCGGTTTTACATGTTCCACTCCTTTAAAGCGTTTCCTCGCTACGTGTGTTGCCTTCGCTTTAATCCTATATGTACAGGTCACTGCTGCCTGTTGTCTCATGTTGGCCGGTAAGGTGGAGGAGACTCCGAAGAAAGTACGTGACATTGTGAAGACTGCTCGCATGCTTTTGTCTGATGCCAACTTTCAGCAGTTCGGTAGTGATCCACGTGTAGGTTGTATCCTATTTTTCCACCTACCGTTTAGGAGGAGGTAATGGCCTACGAGCGCGTTTTGTTGAAAACGATAAAGTTCGATTTGCAAGTAACCCATCCTTACTCGTATTTATTGCAGTTTGTCAAACGCATCAAAGGTAATTCGCGTTACTTGCGACATATACATTTCATTGCCTACATTCACTTTAACTGCATTTTATCTAACCCACTTTGTGCAATCTCTTTACAGCCTGCTTATTGATAAAACAGGTGGTTTAACATTCGTTCTTGTGTTTTGTTCCAACTATTATACCTTAGTACAGTCCTTTCCGACTAACACACGACGACGAACTTTTAGACACGGGTTAGGTGCCATCAGTCTCATCATTTTGGCCCCGCAAGCTGCTCACAACTGGCCACAGGGATTCTAGAAACAATTCTAGAGCTTTCCTGTTTCACCGGGCATCGATTACTCATCGCTCACACTACGTTTTAGTTCGCATTGCTCGGTCTTCAGACAATTCTGCTGTTGTCACTGAGATGATTTATCTCTGCTCGACCGGCTTTCGAATAGTTCTCGATTTTTGCTATTAGAATTACTCCAGTGAGGCTGGACTTTACCGTGGTGTGATGGCTTGTGTGCTTCGGCGATCCATTGAGCTATGCTGGGTGGTGCTTTTGCACCTTCAGAGTCAATCATACCAGATTGGTCAATGATTAGAGGCCAGACAAACGCAGCCTCCTGGTCCTCCAGGTTGGGGGTTAGAATGAAGGTGGCTTCTTATTTCTTACAACGGACTCCTTGTGACCCAACGCCAAACCCGCTGACTTGCGGTAAGGTTTTTGAACCGAAGGCTTTAGTTGAGAACCCTAATCGTTCTCCTGTCTAGGTCTGGGCAACCTGACAGTATCCTGCCCACGCAATACTATGAATCATTCGTCAAACAGATTCTTGATGCTCTGGCCACCGCAGAAGATAATCAACGGTGCCCTATCTGTTGCATCGAGCAGGGTGGATAGGGGTTTGGATGCTACTGCTCAAGCCTTCCCGTCTTTTTATTCCCTCTCTTACACTTTTTCACTTACCGTCCCGTTCCAACTTCACTTATATCCCCCCAGTTTTCTACCCCCGATTCTTGGCCCTCCCCCAACATGCTTTGCGAGGCATTTATCTTCTACTTTCAACTCACATGCTAACGCGGAGCGTCACTCCTGCTCTGCCAACAAGCCCATTTCCGAACAAGCGGTCAAGCCCAGTTCATCGGCTTCCATTTGGAGCCCTCGATCCTGCTTCAGATTGGCATGCCTCAATGTACGCACATTGCTACAGATCGGTCAACAGTCAGCACTTGCCCGAACATTGGAGACCCTCTCGATCGATATCTGCTGCCTATCAGAGACCCGCCTGCAAGACTCGAGCTCCGTGCTCACACTGCGATCCCCTTCAGGTGACACCAACAGTAATTTCTCATTGCGCCTATCCGGTGACGCTGCAGCTTCGAACACCGGCCAAGCTGGTGTTGACATTGCCCTGAATCCCCGGGCTAAAGCTGCTCTGGTTGATTGGATTCCAATCGGTAGCCGGATGTGTGCGGTCCGACTGACTGGCTCGTTCAAAGCTTCGAAGTCGTGCGGGGTCTCTAGGTGTCTATTCATTATCACTGCCTACTCGCCCACAAACTGTAGCGATGATTCGGTAAAAAACGATTTTTACCGCCAAGTTAACGAGCTCCTTTGCTGGCGGGGATCTGAACGCACAAGTTGGAAAGTTGTCCACTGATGAAATGCATCTGGGCGGTCAGCACGGTGTAGGCTCCCGTAATGATAACAGTGAGCGGTTACTTCATTTGTGTGAAGATGCCCGCTTATTTCTTGCGAGCACTAACTTCTAACACAACACTCGCCGGAGGGTGACTTGGCGCCCACCACTCTCGCACCAGCCTTGGACGCAAATCGATCACATTGCAATCAGTTACCGCTGGAGAAGCTGTATCCAGAACTGTCGCTCGATTTGGAGCACATATGTGGACACCGATCATGCACTTGTATGTGCTGACCTGCGGATGCGTTTTGACGGAAGCCCACGGCGACGCTGTGACCGCATTGACACCAGCCAACTGGTAAAACTAGCTGTTCTGAATGCGTATCAAAGTACGCTGACATGCGGGTTGAGTAAGCGCTCACTGGAGACAATTGATGGTCACTGGTCACATGTTCACCAGACCTTACTAGCGTCAGGCAAATCCTCATGTGGTATGTCTAATCGCCAACATGGAAATTGGGTCTCTTCGCGGTCTTTGGAATTTATCGACGCTCGCCAGCATATCCCGGCTGGAAGCCGGTAGTCTCAGTAATTTATCAGTGATTAGGATAGTTACTTCACGCATATGGCAGGAGGATAATAAGAGCCAAGATAGAAAGAGTGTAAAGCGTGCAAAACAGCTATGGTCCGGCGACTTTGTTTATGGTCCAAGTAACCTGCATGACCTTAACAAAAATCGCGTTGCTTCCTTATCTGTCCCCATCGGTTTTTCGTTTTGGCCATTGATCCTTGTGCCCCTTGCTCTGATTCTGTCCTCCGGTTTAGCCTATCTTTCGTCAACGTCGCCATGATGTGCCCGTTATGTTGTCAGTAAGCAGTACTACTGCTCTTTCGTGGAGTGAACATTCAGTTCTTTTTTAATGGAATTCACCGCATCTTCATCCAGCGTAACAACCCTTGGGCATCTGATGAGGCACTGGGTGGGCTCTCTGTTCTTTCGGTACTCATCAGCGGTACGTCTTCTGCGGTCCTCGAAATCTCTCGTCCCTACTCTTGCGAGCAATGGTAGCCATCTGTGGACAATCACGACCACCGTTGGTCAACATATATTTGAATTACCTTGTGCGATGAGGCACAGCTTATGCGCCACATCATCGGTTTGTGGTTCTCACCCTAAGTTATTTCTGCTCTAAAGCAACCAATGAACCAGTAACTAAGCACATACCTTGTTGACTCTTGACAATGCTAGCCGGGCCTGCACAGTCATGGTAAAAGAACAACGAATGATTGGGAAATGTCCGAAAATATTGTAAGTTTGCCAGAAATATGTTGTATATTTATACATGTAGGTACGCGTGTGTAGCTGTTACTTAGATTTGTAAATGCGCTGCTGCACTTTTGACTGTGTTTACTTGCGTCACCAGTGTAAGAAAGAATGAATGACATTTGTAGAGTGGATATTGTCACTCGAATGTACAAAGGGCAGTGACTTCACTTAGTGGCGCGTCACATCCGCCACATCGCTTTGTTGTTAAACCGACAATTTTGGCACTTTATATGGAGGAAAATTGCCAGGAGCACTGCCGCCGAACTGGTTTCTGGAGCATGGCATGCCCGAACCACCCAGTCGGCACCAAGGTGTGGTTGTTCGGCGAACTTACCGGTTACTATTTTTCATACGAGTAGTAGGGTGTTTAACCATAATTTATCTCGGTTGATTTTGACCACGCTCCACTGCTGGTTGTCCGACGTCGCTCCCTATCTGTTGACACTTCGCGACGCTGTGCATGAGTACTTTACTCTAATATGTGTACTCGGGTGGTCGCTACAATTTTCAGCATAGCTTAGTAGTTCCACCACGGACTCACAAAAATATGGCCGGCTTGTAGTACCCCTTGTGTTATATCTGGGCTCGTTGAGATCAAGTGAATCTCACTAGTTTTATTCCACATTCTCCAAAATTCGTGTGTTTGTATGATTAATCTGACATTTTCGTACCTGAGTGCACAACTTTGATTCGCACAACCGGATTGCTATAGCTTCAGCTACTTCTAGTATCCGTCTGCGCATATACCTCGATCGGTTATCCGGGGCCTTATACATTATGTGGAACGCTTCGGCTGGCCTACGGTTGTGGCCTGTGTCGGCAACGTGGGCAGCTATGGCTGAGTTACATCATCATCCTCATTATACACGTTAGCTAGACGTGGTAAACACCTCAGCTACTGTGCCGCAACACCTCAGCTACTGTGCTGAGTTACGTACCCTTCTGCATCCGGTCGCAGGATGTTACAGCGCCACGTATATAGAAAAAGCTCGTGAAACGGCCAGTACACCAACTTCCACAGTTTCGTGCGACTGAGGCTGTAACGGAATGTTATTCGTAATCTGGTCAGTAGAGCAGAAGGAATCTGCTCGCATACTACACTTGCAGGTGAACTACAGCGAATAGGTTCGTTGCTGCAGGAAAATGGTTATCCAGATCACTTCATAAAAGTCTACATGGAGAAGAGGATGAACACACCGGTTGTTTTAACAGTTAATAAAAAATCAATATTCTCGCAACTCCCTTACAAAGGGGAAATTGCTGCCGAAATTCCCAATCGCCGTCTATCACGGGAGCTCAGACGGCCGTTTCCAGCAGCAAAATAACATACATACTTTAGCAGCACACCGGTGATAAAGCTCAGCCTCAAGCATAGTAGACCTGTCCACGACAACTTTATGTGCATCTATTCATTTATCAGTTCCTGAGGTTCAGGATACACTGGTCGTACGAGAGAATGAAAGAACACCGTCCGGCATAGCTATTGACCGGATGCAGAAGGGTATGTAACTCAGCCATAGCTGCCCACCTTGCCGCCACAACCATAGGCCAATGTTAAATACTGCCTCTTGAATACGTCAGGTTCTAACAATGTGATACCAACACTCCTAGACGGATGAACGAACGAGACTCAGAATTATTTCTCGCACGGCACGGTAACTGACAATCTCGAAGTCTGTGGGTTCTCGGAACTTAGCCGCGAAAGATTAATTCACGCGAGTCGAACGGGTTCCTAGACCGAACGCAAAGTTTCTACGCACGATTTCCCAACCCAAGACTGAAGCGAGAACAAGACAGGCCTTTGCCACAGGCGCTTTTACTGGCCAAAGCTAAGGCGATTCTAGCGTTGTACAGCCTCATTTTTATATCACGAAACGGTGATGAAGGGGGGTTTTTCCTTGGAAGGGTTTGCTTAAGCAAACCCTGGAAACAAGAAACATGGTTTTATGTAAATGTGCAAAGTCCGTAACTGAGCAGAAATGTTGGAAGTTTGGCGAGAGTTGTCCGGAAAAATGAATGTTGCTTGGATACAACAATGAGTGTTTGGTTGGAAACAAGACTGTTTCTGGGTGCAAAGGCTAAACAATGTGCATGTTACACGAGTTGGAAGGCTGGTTGAACGTGTGCGTTTTGTCTGCTCTGAGTACATGTGCACTTGAGTGAATCGGGTTTTCAGCCTTCCGTAATTTCAGCCTTTAATAAGTATAGGGACGTTGGGTCCCCATAACAGCCAACCGAAGCATTCCACATAATCTATAAGGCCCCAGATAATCGATCGAGGTATATGCGCAGACGGATACTAGAAGCCGCTGAAGCTATAGCAATCCGGTTGTACGAACCAAACTTATACACCCAGAAGCGATTTGTTCAGGCCCTGGCCTGATCGAATAGTGATTTTTACTCAGTTGGATCGTGTGATGATTCCGACATTGACCTAATTATTGGCGATAGTTGACCTCTTGTAAACTGATTTTACCCCGTTTTAACAACTCATTAGTCTGTCTACTCGATGTAATTGGTCTATACTTGTACTAGCCTGATGAAGAATTATCGAAAACATATGTTCGGTAACCTTGATATTTGCTTTTCGTATCTCATGCAGCCCGGCAGGTCAACTGAAGATATTTCAAACTCGTTGACTCTTATACAAGCTTATCTGTCCTTATCCATAGTCTAATTATAATGTTTGATGCATGTATCAGCGCCGGACGTCTTATTGGGAGTCCGCTATCCAGCAGCAGCTATCCTAGTACACAATGGTGCCCCTACTGAGTTTTGTGTTCTTGTGCTTATTCCATTCTGCAAACCGCCTCCATCCGTATTCAGCCTCATTTTCCCCAACACTCATCGTTCAGTTGTGGACTTTCTCTGCATTTCACTTCACTCCGATACATTTCCGTAAATGTCTTGTGTGCCGGATGCGCCGTAATTTTATCTTCATTCCTATTGCGCGTCTATTTTAAGGTAGTAAAGAAAAGCTGAAGGAACTGGTCCAGATGTCTTGGTCTTTTATCAACGACAGTCTGTCTACCACATTGTGTCTCCAATGGGAACCAGAGATTGTCGCTTGCGCTGTGCTGTACTTGGCCACCCGAATGAGCAAGTACACCATAGAGGATTGGGATGGACGTCAGCCCGGACTACGCTGGTGGGAAAACTTTGTAGAGGGGATGAGTACCGAGGTGTGTTGGGCTTTTCCATCCACTGCCGACTTTTTTCTTTTATCTGCCCGAAAGCAATGAAATTCGCAATGTCATTGTTCTTTTGGCTGTCGTCCACCCTCAACCTGTTTTGCATTCCTGCTCAGTTTGTCAACTATAATCGCAGCACCCACTTCCACGCCGCTTTGAAAATCAGAACACATTACAACTAGGCAAGACGAAACGATCACAACAAAGAGCAGATGGAGCTTAAGACGGAGTGAGCTTGAATCATCTACTATATTTACTTCATTTACGAATGAGAAATTTAACTTTAGATCACCATTGATTCTTCAACTTCATCATGCCGGCGTTCGTACATGCGGTGACTGATCCTCAATCCGCGCTCAGGAACGCGGCGAAACAGCTCAACTGTAGGGTTCGTTCAAATTTACACATTTTGACCAGATGCGTTTCTAAATTTCCAGTCATCTGCACGAAAGTTTGTTCAACCTGCCTGTTTCCGTTAATTTTAACATCTATTGCAATGCCTTCGTCGGAGATTCTCTTGGTGCCCTCTATCCCTGCTGAATTGATTTTGCTATTAGATATGATCGACATTTTGTAGTCGCCTATGTGGAATGCTCCTCTTTCATTCATGCGACAATATTCGTCACACTGTGGTGCTGTTTGGCGTACATAATTGGGAGGACCTGTTTCTGTATTCACTTCCCGTGTTAGCCAGTTGTCATTTCCACGTAACCTTGTCTTTCACCAACATTGGGGATGCCAAGACTTATTCAGAAATTGAATTATAGCCTTAGCAATGTCATGGGTCTTACATCCTACTAATTATTCTCATTTCATTTACAAATGAATACTAACTAAATAAATAAATGGGTATGCTTCCCGACGAGCGTGATACGTTCCCTTTTGTAGTACGATCATTTCTACGACAATTTTCCTTACTATTTCATACATAAACTTCATTCAATGTGGTAGGGTTATGCAATGTTTTATTGCGTATATAATCAGCAACATTAGTTAATAGCTAATATTGTCACATATTGTTCCGGCCCGATTTCATGAGCGCACTCGTGGATTGTTGAATGTCGACAAGTTTGACCACATTTGTCATGGAATGGAAAGTTTTTAAATTAGTTTTAAGAATGGATCCGCCAATCTCTTGCATCGACAGGCTTGTGCTTAGGTGACTTTTAAAATCTTACCTCCGTAAATCCACGGCTTTAGAACTTGCTTGGTTGGAAGTGAATGTTGCTAAATCGCGTGAACTCCACTGACGAGGTAATGCGATTCGACGAAGTGTGGAAATCTTCTGACAGTTCAGTTGGCCTTTTGCTTCCAGACGCTTTCCTACTCAATTGTTGCAAGCTGAGCCATGGCCAGTTAGTTTGGATGCTCCATCGGAGGCAGACGTCTGAAACGCGATGACCGCCCGTAATCGTTTTCGAGCTACTGGTTCGGATCCCCTTGAAACCACACTGGTGATTTCCTCTGCAAAGCACTGATCTCCCCGTGTCCTTCTCTTTCTTCGTTCTGCAGACCATTGTCTTTGTACGACAGCGATGCATTTGTTCAAAATGGTCGATTTGCTATTGTTTGTGATGATGACGACGACGGCTTTAATGGTGGGGACGATAATGATTTTAACGACGGAACTGCGCTAAATTCACTATCGTCACACGAAGCGTATTTAGATAAGGCTAATTCGAGTTGTAAACCTAGACTACGCAGGTTTTGGACAGAAAACATTTTGGGCATAGAATTATGTCATATACTCCTGTGACCATTGTTCTAAAGGGCATAGTAATGTCCAAGACAGGAATCACAACTATATTTGCAACGTATCGGTAATGTGAATAGCAGGCTGATGAAAATATGACATTTGGATATAAAGTGCATGCAATTAAAATGAAAGCATAGCCATCCTGTTTGGAGAATGTAGCAGTCTAAATCGAAAAAGGCGTATTAGTAGTTCGGAAAGGTGAAACTAGTTAGGAATGGGAGCACTGTACCATCAAAAGATAACAATCCATCTGGTGCAGGAAATCACAGTTCTGTTCAATTTTTCCTCGCTGATTATGATGGATATTGTATGATATTACGAAATCTAGACTAAGAAAATCGCAGGAGACGGGTCACAAATCTGCGGGCTAATGAGCGAAAACTATAGGCACGGTCTAGGTAGAGGATATGAAACGCAAATCTCTTTTATCGTGGTTCTATCATTCGAATTCAAAGCAGTGACCAACTCGCGAATTGGTTCGCAATCGTAATGAAAAAAGCAGACCCGGGAAGTCATGCGGCAGCGTGCGGAAACGTTACGGTATAGCAGTTCACTAATCGGTGGTCTGTCAAAATGAAATATGCAACATTGAAGAGTCAAGGATTTGCCAATAGTGCGAAGTGAAGTTGTTAAATGTTTAATAATGCAGATGTGTAAAATTCTGCATAGAAAGAAGGAAATTTTTAGACGAGGGATACCATGTTCTTAAATAGGCAATCCGCTTTGGCTGAAGCATCGAAGTTCTCTCTTTGGACTTTACAGTGATGACAAGAATGCCGATGCACGTATTAGTCTTATACCGGACGATGAGTCCATACCAAATTACATGGAACAACTCTTTGTGTCTGTTACTATTGCGGGCATTGTATACCTTGCTTGTCCTAGTAAGGCGCAGCCGTCTCTTGGATCCATTAATCGAAGTTGTGACAGCTTTCCAAGGTTCAAAAACGAAATTTTGACTTCAATCAAGATTCGTTATTCAAAGCGTAACACCATCATTCTCTATCACACATGAATTAGAATTACTCCAAATGGCGGCGCATTTCTTCTTGCTATTGCTTCCTCGGTCGATGCTTAAGCTTTGTTTCTTATCAGTCTCAATCAATACTGCACTGCCCATCCATCCCTTGTAATTCCCATCAACTTACTTTGTCGCCGATCAAATAGCTTTTAACCTGTTGGCTTCATATGCCCTCAAGTTGCCCGTTCGATCCAGCCACCATCATACTCATACTATCATCACAATACGAGTCGTCATTATTTCAACGATTGCATCAAACGCAACTATCCTACTGGATATTACTTTGGTTTGCACACCAATCATTCTGCATTCGACCGAAGCTAGTTTTAGCACTGGCACTCGCACAAGGAGATTGCGAGATTAATGCAACTATGCTATGCATTTCTGCCGTGGATTGGTTCCTACAGGTAATTTACTTTTCTGCCTAATGTACCAGAAACGCAATTGAAAGCAAAGACGCTAGTGAGAAGACATGTTGTGTTTGTGCGTAACTTGAAATTCACTACAAGTCCTTTTGCTGCCAAACGCGTTATGTCTCACTTGGCTACTCCACCCTTCATTCGTCCGCACAATGCGCTGCTTTTGGCACGCCTAGATGCTGCTGCACTAATGTACTATCGAACATTGGGACATGACGGCGGCAAAGGGGGGGAACCATTCCGTGTATAGACTGGGCCAGTGTAACTTAAATGGGTGGCGTCCAGTCGCATACTCGCATCCCACTGCTTCTGTAATCTTCGTCGCTACATCGAACCTGTATTGGTGTTTATCTCCCGACACTTGTATACAGGGGTGTCACGCGATGCGTGTTGTAGCGGTACCCCCGATTCCCATTAGCGTGAATGGGTTGTCGGTTCACTCGCATATGGCGGCACTTCTGAGTGCCTGAATTAACTAGCGCTCTACACCGACGCACGAGCTCCCACTCTTGAGTAAACAGGGGGCGTGCCCGTTGCGAATTTGTGTGCATCGTCTTCCATCTACTAAGGAACAGAGTATTGGTTCCAACATTCTCTCCTCGATGGGGTAGAGAATGGGGCCAAAATACAGTCGCCAGTGCAGTAGAGCTGAGAGTTATCCTTAGCAGATCACCAATGCACCGCAGACATATGTTGGTTTATTAGGGAAACCACGGAGTTAATACAATTTGAACAAACGTATGTGGAGAAGGGTCAACACAAGTTGCCAAAAGCAAATCAAGTTAAGTCCATTCGGTTTATTCAGTCAAATTGAACCTACAAAGTACAATGGATGTTTGATTTCTGAGAGGGTTGGTAAAAATCGGTTGATATAGTTGTTTGGTAACGCTTCGTTCTTGACACAAGAGCTTCGTCAGGCCAGGTGAATCAGTGCAGTTGGAGTGGCATCTTATGGCGAACAGTGATACAGTCAATGTTGACACATCAACCTACGTGTGACTTGGGGGATTAATAAGTAGTGCCAACCGTTCGGAAGCCATAAGAGCATCCACAATCGCACAACGTCAAATAAGCGATTAGACTAGGACCGATGAGAGTACCAAAAACACGGTGATAACTGCGCCTACTATCTACCTGATGCAGTGAAAGGTCTGTTGCAACTATATTCTGCTTACCCCAAACCTAAGGCTAATTACAGGATTAATCCAGTGGTTGTTTCAAACCCACCAGAGAAATCGAACTGACCAGATGAGGACGGGTTGGCTCCGTGTCGTCTAACACGTATTGCGACGTTTTTTTGTAATTTGCGCACTACCTCATTTGCGGTATTTCATTTGTCACATTGGTCACCTTCATTGGTCACATGCACTGTTGATGATACAGCTCATCGTCACAGCGGTATCCCATGTTTTGAGAGCACGATATCATTAGCGAAATGTGTAACACTGTCAGGTTTTTCAATAGCATACTTACTTCAATTGGGTTTGGTCTCGGTGATCAGCCATCTTTTTATTGGAGCTCAATCAGTTTATCACTCGTTACTGCTGACGCTCTGTATCGTATACTAACGGCTCATTAAGAGCACCCAGTCAGTGAGTCTGTTCTCAAGTTCTCCATATTCCATCATGAACTTGGAACTTTTTCCACCAACCTTCTTACTATCCCGGTACCACAATGCAACGTTCGAGGTGCGGGGGACTTTCGTGAGTATAGCTCCAACATTTATCCATCCCACATGTGCGATGAATGTAAAGCATTAGTTAGACTTCGGAAGACGGATATTGTGGCCCGTTTCAGTGTGACTGTTCAGTTAGCCTTTGATTGGTAAACGAATGTGGGTGCATTCCTCATCAGACCGGAACTTAACTTGATTTGTACCGATCCTCTCGTGAGGGCAGCTATCCATCAGCATTTTGTGAGTTTCGGCAACATGGACAACCCTGATTGATTGATTGATTCTCAGCTATTTGATTGCCGATGTTTCGACACCAGTCAAGTTGGCATTTTCAATGCGTCCGATCATGAAAGGAAGAAACGCATCAGCAGTACGCCGGTACGCAGTACCGACGCTTCGCTGCGGCGCAACCCCCACCAGTCACACGTGGGCTAAGGATACTACGAGGGCCGCGCGGTCACCTGCGCAGGCTCGAACCCGCGTCCTTGGCAGGCTGGCTGCGGGCCAGCAGTGCTTAAGAGCAAGTGGTTTGTTAGCAGATACTGAGCTTCGAGCAAGTCCAGAGGTCGGCTACTGTATCTGAATTTGCTCTAAGCTAGGTATCTGCTAACCAGCTATTTGCTGCTACGCACTCAATTGATGGCGAAAGGACTACAATAAAATTGCTCAGCTAGGAGAACCAATCAAGATTTCAACCACCAGCCCGAGCGACCGGTATTCAGAATCATTACATGGACAATCCTTAGCACCTATAATGTTAATGACTACCCATCACCGCCATTCTGAGGACGCTGCCCCAGCAAGTCATATTCTGCTAGGAAGGGCGGCAATATTAAGCACCATTGAATGACCGCAGTCATTAAGCAACGGTAAACAGATGTCTCATCGGACTGCTTTAACATCAAGAGCTTCAGCGCCAATATCCGATGTGGATTCAGGTGATGCCTCTGGCCATGACGATACAATAGACCTGTTGTGTTCTTCGAGAAGTTCTGTCCAGTGTGATGCTGCTGTACCTGAGAATGATTCCACTGTCTTCTTTGTGGTGATTGCTTACTGACTAGCCTTCACGCACTTAATCACATGTATCGAACACGTGGACGTAGCCACAGCTCATCTGCTGAGACAGCTACACTGACTCTTGGCAGCGCAATATACGGACACCACTGTATCTTGACTTCTAAGATCTAGCTGCCCCACACGAGCCCTCCTTTTAGCTCACGTTTATCCGTTTACTACGCCAAATGATCTCTTCTTTGTTTGCATATTTTTCATCATCGTTTGCCTTCTATATTGGCCACGCTTGTTTGATGTTTTTTGATTTTTGCTAACTGAAGCTTCCTTTCTTCTGTTACGGAGTCTAGTTTCGTTTTATTACTCGATGGTACCAGTCATGCGATTACTTTTCGGGACAGTCAATTTACTGTACCGTCTATAGAGCGGGACAAAACGGCAAATCCTCCATCTCGGGGTTTTGTGAATTTGTCCATGATCGCGCATCGTGTGGTCAACCTCGGTCTCGGTATCCAACTTACTGAGTGTTGCATTGCACATCTCATCCTCTGCTGCCGCATTAGCTCGCTAGTGTGGTCTGACATTATGAGTTTCGGCAATTACTTATGTTGCCTAGTAGCATATGCGTGTTGATAACTCCCCGTGCTTGCGTCTACAAACCAGTTGATCCTCTTTCGTTGACTGGGCTGTGTGCACATTTTCACACCCTGAGGGCTGTTTGTGCAACACCTTACTCTCATCAACCATTGCACATGATTCTGCTGTTTTGGGCTCCTGGTCATCAGTATGGTTCCGGCGAAATATCTGTCTCCCATTTGACTGCGCGCTGTCTCATTCGTTTGATCATTGCTATATATGGAGATTTTGTATTTGTAAAGTTGAATCAAGTTTGTGTGCCACACTCACTGACTTCCTGTGGTCTACTTTTAGACACTGCGCAGCAAAATCTTTGCTCCAGTGGCCATAGACGCATTTTTCTTTTACATTCATTCTTTACTTTCCGTAAACGGACAGCACTTGTCTCTGAGTAGTCCGTTCCTCGTCTGCTTCTCACGCCATTCTCATTTTCTCTTAAATCATCTGCTACGTCAGCCAGTGCTTTCCAAGACTTCATTTTTGAAATGTCGTTGTCTACTTCTGATCTGTAAGTAATGTATTGCGTAGTCAAATATTATTTCCCGCATTTGCATCTGTTTCACCTCAGGTTATGGAGGACATTTGTCACAAGATATTGGATCTTTATCCAGCTGATGGTACGGCAGATGATCGTACTGTTGAAGTAAACAATACTGCTTCAAGTGTGGACCAAGCTTCAGCTGGATTGGGGCTTCCCTCGCGTTCCTCACGGAGCAACTTGGGAGAGCCTTCACCCAAACGGTCAAGGCCGGTTTATCCCTCGAGTTCAGAAATGTCGCATCGGATCGCATCTAACTCTCGCCCATCGACCTCAACTGCATCCTCCACTGCCCCGGTAGTTAATGCCTTTGATAAACCAAAGACAATGCACTCTGGTTTACCCAGTCGTGATGACCATCGATGATATTGTTTCCTCCACCGTTCTTTCCCCGCCCATCTTCTCTATACTGTGTATGCCTCTTTCCGGTTTTCTCTTTTGCTTGCTATTTAAACCGATAGTGTTTTGTCCGCGGCATTTTATTCGTTTGTACCACTATTGAAAGTCGTGATGGATATTTCAGTACTGGCACTTTTCAGCGTTTTACTGTAGTTACCTTGTAATCCATACTCTGAAGTCCTTGGTTTCTCATTGGTTGCTCAGAGTAGAAAATCCTATCGAACCGATCCTACTAGCCTCTCATGTTGTTTTGCGCACGAACGGGCTATTGTAATCACTTACCACCAACATGGTTCCATATCGGTTAGTTTTCCATTACTAACAATGATGAGGTATCACGGATTAAACTAGTTCGACTGCTTCATAGTCTTATGTTGTCGGCAACCGCTCTGATCTGGAGCTGAGTAACCTGTTTCACGTATTTTTTTGTTCTACCGGCTGAACTATACGATACAGATACAACAATCGATGTGGTGTGTATGTAGCATCGCCGCAGTCGTTGAATGTTCTTGTATTTGTGCTTCACACATGACATTTTCCCAGAATGAATCGTTGGTACCATCCTAGTTTGTTATGATGTCTACGTGTCTGCTGCGGCCACCTCTATTACTGCCCTTAGGTGGATACCAATCGTCGGTCCTTGTCACTCTGTTAAGTCTGAAAAGTGGCTCCATCTTGCATTTAACCTGTGCGTTTGTTGCGCTTCGTTTTCTCTTGTTTCACTTCCGATGTTCCAGTTGGTGGGTTGTAGGCCAACTCAGAGTCAATCGCGGATTGCTTCCACATGCTTCGTGGTCTTGCTCTCCCTTTTTATAATGTGTATGGTTAAGGTGGCACAAGCCACTCATGGTCCCAATCTATACCCAATCACAATGACGGCAAAAGCTGGGGATGTTTATCGGCTGCCACTGCTTATACATCAACAGCAGTACATCAGCCATTTGAACTGATGCTTCGCTGCCATACAACCATGAGGACCTATGAAGTAAAGAATTAGAAGAGGGAGAGAAGGAGGACATACCTGAAAACATTAATGCCCTAAGTAAACATTCAGGGTCAAGGCGCCTACACCTTGTGTAGACAACATACCGTCACAAACAGCTGAATATCGTGCAAAGATAAGCCGGCATTGGTGAGACAGCTTCCTTACGGCTTTCACTGCCACGCTTCATAATCAGCCATTATCCCGCAGATAACTCAGCACCAAACACACTTTAAACAGGCAATCCAATTAGGAGGCGGCAGCAGACGCGCCACTGGTGTCGGTTGCGAGCCATGTCCTGTAAAGTCGCTAGCCAAGCACAAGGCGAGTCACGTGGACTCCAGCCCATGAAATGAAACGGACCAACGGCACCCAGTTTGGTCGTCAGTGACTTCATTTCCCGCTGCCAAGTCAACTTCTGTCCACCTCGAGCCTTGCGCCATCCTACACCTGGCAGACTAAACAAGGCCCTCCTAGGTAAGCGGTGATCAGGCATACGTAGCAAGTGCCCGAGCCAACGCAACTTATTCAGTGCTAGCTGTTGTTCTGGGGAACTAGCATGATTATCACTACCCAGTACTCGTCTACGCACACCATCGTTGCGAGCACGCTGGTGCCATCTGACACCACCATTGCTTCGCAGACAACAATGATCAAAGACTTGAAGGCGCCTCCGATCTTCAGACCGAAGGGGCAAGTTTCGCTACCATAGAGCTGTACAGCTCTCACTGTAGCCTTGTGTACACTGCCTTTCAGACGGAGGGAAACTCCCTTCTGTCGCCAAGGATGCCGCAGGTTCAAGAAGTCAATTCTGGTTTTTGCAATGCGTGAGCTGACATCAGTTTCTATGCACCCATCGTTGCTGATGCAGCAGCCAAGATAAGTGAAATGATCAACCATCTCCAGCTCCTCGTTAGCAAGGGTCAAGGGGTCATCAAGTGGCTGGTGATACTGCAGCAACACTTTGCACTTTGAAGGTGCGAAGTGCATACCAAATAATGGGACCACTCTGGACAGGCTATTCAAGGTTGATTGGGCCGCCCCAACATCGTCGAAAAGCAAGATGATATCGTCCGCATAATCTAGATCAACTAACCTTTCATCAGGCGACACTTCAACGCCTACATCGTTGGATTCCGTCAGGGAACACTCCATGATAGAATCCACGACGAAATTGAAAAAAATGGGGAAATCGGACAACCCTGACGAACGCCACTTGTGGTCGGAAAGCTATTCGATAGGCCACCGTAGACCCTGACGCAGTCTGTAGTGTTCGAGTATAGAGCACGAAGGATGTTCATTTATTTTGTGGGAACACCTTTCGAACAGAATCGATCGATCGACTGAATCGAACGCACTCTTGAAATCAAGGAACACAGCCATTGTCGGTCTGCGGTATGCGTGGCGCTGCTCTAGAACCTGCCGCAAAGTGAATATATGGTCTATACAGCCACGTCCTGGGCGGAAACCGGCCTGCTCTTCCCTAATCTGAGATTCCCGTTCTGCAGTGAGGCGACGAACGATAATCGAGGCCAATAATTTTGTCACAATTGGCGTTAGGCTAATACCCCTGTGGTTCGCACAGTCTGTGCGACTGCCCTTCTTGTATATTGCCACTATAATCGATTCGCTCCAATTAGTCGGAACGCTCTCTTCTTTCCAGTTACATTTTAATAAGGTCAGTGCTTTGCAGAGGACGTCAGCTCCATCCTTAAATAGTGCAGGTGGGAGGGAATCCGGGCCAGCGGCACGAAAACGATTGAGGGCTGTGATCGTGTTGCGGACCTCAGCCTCTGACGGAGGCTCTAAACTAACCGTCCATGGCTCGTCCTGCATCACCTGAGTAGGAAGAGGTCCGGGAGCAGGAGGCCAGCTGAACTGAGCTTGAAAGTGTTCCGCCTAACGAGCCATACGGCGCTCCTTATTGTGTATCTGCGCACCCGCGCTGTCTCTGATTGTCTCACTGACGCCTGGTTTTCTGGGACCAGTGGTGCGGGTTAGCTGGAACAGTTGCGGTAATTGCCCATGCCTCTTCCATTTCTTGTGCGCTACTGGTCCACCAGGCTTCCTTGTCAGCACGCACGCTCTGCTTTAGTTCACGCCTAATAGCCCGTCTGGTCACATTGTGTTCAGAGCCAGCCGGGAGGTGTCTTCTATATTCCAACAGGTTCACGGACCTCTCGGATATCCAGTGACTGGTGCGGTGACGACTGATAGTGCCACAAGCAGTTGCTCCTGCGTCATGCATGGCAGCCGAGATCCTATTCCACTGAAGTTCAGTGTCATTAGGACAAGACAGCGAGAGTTCGGTATGCAATGCTTCTTGATAGGCTTGCCTGAACGAGGGCTGGGACAATTTATCCGTTGCCAATCGGAGGAGACGCTTTGTGCGTCTTCCGGTAACGGTCATGGAGAAACGACAGCGCACCAAGGCATGATCAGAGTCGACACAGGTACTCCAGTACGAGCGACAATCCAGAATGGAACCGCGCCATCTGTAACTTATGGCTATGTGGTCAATTTGGGTCCATCGCTGGCCAGCTACAGGAGGACGCCAAGTGGTACTTCGGCGCCCACTGTGTCTAAAAGCAGTGCTACTAAGAAACAACTGGTGCTCCGCACCCAGTTGCAGCAGACGTTCACCGTTGTCAGTTGCCACTGGTTATGCAAGGTGGCGAATGCTTTTCACTCTCTTTTCATCGCACTTTAACGTTGTGTTCTATGGCGTGTGCATTGGTGTCGTGCTTTGTAGCCAGCAATCCATTATCCAATCCAAGCTTTCGCTATAAGTTTCGCATATGGGCTCCCACGTTTAAGGAAGCTTCTTACCCGATGAAGACGGTATGATACAATAATGAGTTTAAGGCCGCATGCAGTGTGACTCATCGGGATCACGGTGACCTTATTGCAGTTTATTGCTCTATGGGCGTGTCTTACATGTGCATGATGCGCTCTGAAGAGTTTCCTACCGGACCAGGTCGTTATTGCACCATCCTATAAACCACCGAGGCGTTTCAGACATGGCACTGTTCCTCATTCCACCGAATGAGTCGCTTGTCTCAAGTTTTTGCGCTTTATGCAATTTACTTACGTCCCAACATCGCATTCGCTGCTCGTTGATTTCCACCGCTTGTTTCGTCGAACTGAATGTATTCACATTACTCCGTTTACCATGAATCTAGGGAATATGATGTACCTGTAACTGAACAGTCATTGATAATGGACTCAGTGTATACGAGAGGCATGGTGCTGTTTATTCCTTGATGACGAGACTGAGTTGTCAATCAATCTGAAGCGCTTTATGGTATCCTGGTTACCTGATTGTGGAACTGTTTCAGGTCTTTAATGGTCACTAGCTACTCTTAGATGTAACCTGGTTCACACTAATCGACCATTAATCACTTCAGTGATATTTCGTGACTTTATCCCAAACGGAAGCTTCTGTGCCTCGGCCACTCCAAACTTTAGGTCATTCCTCCATTCTTCCTCTATACTCTCTTCATTTGTCGGAGGTACGGCTCCCTCCCGTTTTTGTTATCATGTGACCATCCAATCTTGCAGGTGTTAGGGCAGCGCCACGTATACCGCAGACCGACAATAGCTGTGTTCCTCGATTTCCAGAGTGCATTCATTTCAGTCAATCGATACATTCTGTTCGCAATACTTGCGCGAAAAGGTGTTCCCACGAAATATGTGAACACCTTACGTGCTCTGTACTCGAACACTACAGGCCGCGCAAGAGTCGACGGTGTCCTATCGGATAGCTTTCCGACCACAAGTGGCGTTCACCAGGGTTATCCGATTTTCCCATTTTTTTCAATTTCGTCGTGGATTCTATCATGGAGTGTTCCCTTGCGGAATCTCACGATGTAGTTGTTGAGGTCTTGCCTGGTGAAACGTTAGTTGTTCTTGATTATACGGACGATATCGTCTTGCTGTTTAACGATCTTGGGTGGCAGCATCAACCCTGAACAGCTTGTCTAGAGTGGTCACATTATTTGTTATACGCTTGGCATTTCACAGTGCAAAGTGTTGCTGCAGTATCACCAGCCACTTGATGACCCCTTGACCCTTGCTAACGAGGAACTGGAGATGGTTGATCATTTCACTTATCTTGGCAGTTGCATCAGCAACGATGGGCACATGGAAACTAAAGTCAGTTCACGCATTGCAAAAGCCAGAACTGACTTCTTGAACCTGCGTCAGCTTTGCGACAGATGGGTTTCTCTCCGTCTGAAAGGCCGTGTATATAAGACCACAGTAAGAGCTGCCCAGCTCTGTGGTAGTGAAACTTGGCCCTTTCGGTCTGACGACCAGAGGCGCCTTTAAGTCATTGATCATTGTTGTCTGCGAAGCA